GGGGGGGGGGGTTGGATCTGTTCCCTGGTCTACACCTTGGGAACAAGTCTGTCCCAAGTCTGTCCTTTGTCCTGAAGAAGCTGGCTCAGGGTGGGAGGGGGCACCTCCCATGGACGCCATCTGTGAGGAGGACCCATCCGTGGAAGTGGCGTGATGGCGATGCGAGGGGCAATGGGCTCACTTCTACGTGGGATTAACCCCACCCTCCCAGAGTGCCGAGAGGGGACCGAAGACGTGGCCAGGGAGGGACTGCTCTAGGAGCAGCTGAAGGACTTGCCCCACGTCTCTGTCTCTCCCAACCTGTCTGTCCCAGGTCTCTCTTCATTGCCAACACACTACCTCTCACTTGGTCCCCCAACTCATTCCTTCCCCCCCCAAGTCCCCGCCACCCATCCCTAGTCCCTCTCCGTTCTCTGACTGCCAACCACACAGCACACAAAGCATACGGGTGAGGGTGAGTCCATCTAGGGCTGGAGAGCTCTGACGACTCAGACCTGGAGCTGAGCTGGTGGCCCCCACCCCGACCCACATGGCACAGGAGAGGGCGGGAGCAGAAAGCAGGATGGCCTCTGGCTCCAGCCAGGAGCCTCCGAATCCCATGCCTCCGCCCTTCCATCCCTCCTCCCTCCCTCCCTCTCCTCTCCCCTCACCTTCCCTCCCCCTCCTGCTTTCATTCTTTTTCTTCCTGGGACTCCGCCTTCCTCAGTCCCTTCCTGGTCCTGACAAGGTCATTAAGAGACGAGTCTCTTCCTGAGGCCACCAGGTAATTTCCCGGGCCGTCCCAGTGCCAGAGCCCACGCCTTCCCCAGCCACGGTGGCACCGGCAGAACTGGGTGGCTTGAAAGCTCTCCTGCCTCCCTCTCCCCTGCCCGATTCCCTCCTCTCCTTGCCCCCTGCCCCTTTCTCACTCAGCCTTTCGAGATGCAGCCATTGAGGAAGCGGCCACCTTGCTTTGGCCTTTGGGTGCAGACACCCCGGGGGAAGCGGAGGGCATCGGGAGGTGGGAGCCAACGTCTGTGCCCGTCTGCGGCTCCGAGCTCCGCCGTGCCGTGATATGTACTCGCCCTGTGTTTGTCATGTTTCTGACTTGGGGTTTTGGAAAACATCGTTCCTGTGGTCAGAATATAAATGCCAATCGTCTCCTTTGCTAAAATATGTACAGTAAAATGTACAGTTTTCAAAACAATGACCAACCGCCCTTCCTGGGAGAGAGAAAAAAAGAACGTTCTCGTGTCTGTAAATGCCTGCTGTTCGTTTCTCTGGAACCCTGCGGTCCTCAAGGTGGCCGCGAGGCCCACGGCCCTCAGGCCTGCGTTTGCTCCTGCCTGGCGGGAGCCGGCTTCCTGCCAAGGTCACGTAGGAGATGGAAACTTTCTGAAATCAGAGAATGAGGCCGCCCTCTGGAGCAAAGAGCAAAAGAGGGGTCGGGAGTGGAGCCCCAGGTGAAAACACTCGTCCACCCCCCGCCACCCTGCCTGTCCCACCTGGCACCTGGATTCTCTCATGCCGCCTGACTCCTGTCCCGCCTGTGGGCACCACCAGCTTCGCCACTAGGGGCGCACTCAGACCGCCCACCCATTTTGGTGGAGCCCTGATGGCACTTTCTCCAAAAGGGCCTTTTACTGGGGAAGCAGTACAGCAACGCAAAGCACAAACCCGAAGTGTAGACACAAATGAGCCTCCTGAGCACAGTTCCCAACACTCTTTCCGTCTAGTATCTAGGTCAGCACCGTCCAACAACGTGTGAGTCACGGTGCCATTTCACATTTTCCAGGAGCCACATCAAATCAAGTCTAAGAAACAGGTGAAATGGATTTTAATAATATATTTTATCTAACTGAATATATCCAAAATACTATCATTTCAACACATAGTCACTATAAAATTTATTAATAAGATATTTAACTTTTTTGGTACAAAGTTCTGTGTGTTTTACATTTGTGCCACAAGTCGGGTCAGACCAGCCACTTTTAAGTGCTTTAGAGGCATATGGGGCTGCTACTGGACAGCACAGCTCTAGACACACAATGATTGATGGGGAAGCCCAGCTTTTGGAAGGGGAAGGAAACTGCAGTTATTATCTTCAGTTTTCAGGTACTGTGTTGGGGTTTCACATGCATTTCTCACGGAATCCTGACTGCAGCCTCTCAAGGTAGATATTATGCCTATTTTACAAATGAAAGGACCAGTCTCAGAGGGGTTAAGTAACTTGCCCAGGGTCACACAGTAAGTCTGGCCGCAAAGCCTTAGATCTTTCCATAATGTCAATGCTGCCTCCCCCATCCTTCCTTCCTCCCTTCAACCCACTGCAGATGGCAATTTACATGGACTGAAGTACTCAATTTATAGCCCAATCTAGAAGCCTTTGGTTTGGCCTCAAGGTCTAGTAAAATTCTCAGAGTGTTTACTCCAGGCAAGGGCTTCAGTGGTTTCTTCTGACTTCACGCTGGCCTTCCTGGCTTGAAACACATTCCCTCCTTTGGCCAGTGAGATCCCCGCAGGCATCAGACAGTCCTGCCCAGACCACCCTTCTGATCATCCCTTCTCCTAACTGGTGACTTGTTTAATAGCTGGCCTTGTCTGTCTCCCTCTGTCCCAAAAGTCTGTAACTTCATCCCCCTAAGATAGAAAGCCTCATGCCAGCTTGCTGCCTTGACTAGCAAGCCCACCTCTTGACTCCAAAACCCGTGTCCCCATCAGGAAGGGTGTTCACCCACCCAGCCCCTCTCTGCTGATGGAGAGGAGCCCTCAGCTCTCTGACTTTGCAGAAAAGACAGAGCTGAGACCCCTGAGCCCCTTGAATTATTAAGCTTTCTGAAAAATAATCCAGCCCCCAGTGCAAGTTCTTAATTATGCCATGTCCCTCAGGCTCTCCTCAGGGATGGTTTTCACTTTGCCATCATAATAGTGTCGATACTCCAAAAGAGCTTAAACACATGTGCTTTTTTTAAGGGATATCATTTCCAGCCAGGTAAGAGGAGGGTCACTGTCTCAGGTTTCCTCCTTTCAGAGTGAGTGGTAACTTCTCCCCAAGTCTGTGGATATTGATGTTTCCTAGGTGCAGCCCTGGCACTTCTGGGTCTTCCATGCTCTGTTCCCAGTGTGTCCGCGTGCAGGGCTCAGGGCTTCGGCGAGCTGGCGGGGCTTCCTCTGGTCTTGCAGCCCCTGGGGTCTCTGCAAACTGCTGCTGGTAGAACAGATGCACTCTTCAAAGAACAGACTATTGGCAGGCAGCAGGCAGAACCTGCACGCACAGTCTTAAATTTCACACCTAGATTCCC